TTGGTGCCTATTCCATGCAAAATTTGATTGCCTATTTCCTTCATAGCTAAAGTTAGGGTGATCTCTCCAACTCGGATTACACGTGTTCAAATACGGGTCATATGACTTTCTTGACGCGGACACGTGACCAACTATGTTTACTTGCTCTGCACTCTCTTCTTAAATCATGCTCTGTAGAATGACCCATGACAGTACAAATTCCACACACCTTGGCTTGTGGTGTATTTCTTACAGCCAATTGCCTAACAAATGACGTTAACTCAGATAACTGTTGTTGGATAGAGGATGTTTTTACCTCATCCATCCTGCGAATCGGGACATCCTCCTTTGTACCGAACTGCTACGAATTCTCGGTGTAGACATCAAATTTTTAACTTTATTTTTCATTATTAGTTTTATTGATATTTATTTTAGTTTGGTTTTACTAGTCTCATTTTTAGACATTTTAGCAAAAAAAAAAAGAGAAAAAAAAAAGAAAAAAAAAGGGAAAAGTCAAAAATCAATCAAAGGACAAAAACAAGACACATGAACCTATTTTGAGGATAAGATCTTGACCTTTCATTTTAGGGTTAGTTTTTGGGGAAGGCATTAAAAAGGGCTAGGCTAAAAAAAGAAAAGGGGGGAGACGGATGAATAAATGGGGGTGGCCGGCTATAGGAAGGAAAAGAACAAGAAAAAATCTAAAAAAGGGAAGGATTAGAGTGACGGCCGAAAAGGGGCCGCGAGAGAGGAAAAAAAAGAGAAACAAAACAGAGGAGGCCGAGAGAGGCTTCAAAAAAAATAAAGCCGAGAAAAACAAAGAAGAGGGGGTGGACAGAGAGAGTGAGAGGAAACGGCGGATGAAAAGGAACCGAAAAAATCAGAAAAGGGAATAAGAAGAAATACCAGGAGGAAGGCTTGGGCTGAGAACCGGAAAAAGAAATCAGGAAACAGGACAAGAAAGGCTGAAGAGAAGGAGAAGCTATGAGGACAGCTTCGGCAGGCAGCAACAAAAAGAGAAAAAAAAGAAAAACAGAGGAAAGCTCGGCTGAAGGAAAAACAGGGAGAGAACGCCGGGTTTCATCTTGGGGAACAAAAGGAAAAAACAGAGGAAAAAGTGGCGGACAAAGATTAGAAAAGAAAAACAGAGAGCTGGGGTTGGTGGCCGAAAACAGGAAAAAGAAAGGAGAGAACCTAAAGGGAGGCTCGGCTAAAAAACAGGGAGAAGAAAACAAGAGGGGCGGCGGTTTGAGAGCAAAGAGAAATCTGGAAATTGGAGGGGTTTCCTTCGGAGGATTCGAACGAAAGCTTTAGCAAGGAAAGGTCAAGGCCGCTGCCACCACTGGAATTGTCCACCGCCACCACTGCAATTTGCCATTACTGTCTAAAAAAATCCTTGCCAAGGGCGCACTGTAAGTCTTACTTTCAAGGGCAAACTCCGGAAATCCCCAACCCCAAGCATGTTTCCGTGAACTGGTTTATGCAGCTTTCTTGATTGATTGTCCGTTTTCTTTTTGATTGTAAATGCTCTGTGGGTTGATTGGATGGAATGTTTTGGGTTGCTGGTAAAATTTTGGGCGAGTCATAGATTCGATTGAGCAGAGATTAGCTAAAATTTTGATGCCCATTTGGTGTTTGAAGAAATGCCTGATAGAAAACTTTGAATCAAAGCAGGAAAAATTGATGAAATCTTGTGTCTGTCTATATGTGAGGTGCGGCTCTGGTCAATCCAAAGTGGGCCGAAGAGTGTTGTTTTTGCGGCAAGAAAGAAGAAGTTTTTTTTCTAGAAATTTTCATGATCAAACATTCTTTCTTTTTATTTGTTATCCTTTCCTTTATATAAATTTGGGTTGCGCGAGTTTCATTTGAAATTTCTGGTAGTCTTTATTCACAAAGGAAGACGGAAATGGGACTGCCGTGGCTTCATCTAGTGTAATTTTCCTGCTAATTGGCCTCAATTTTTGAATATACATGCTGTATATGATGACCGAAATTGAATTTCTCTGTTTCTGATAATTTTTAGGGCTGGTTGTCACCTTTGATTGAGCACAGATTTGCTGATTTTTTACGCCCATGTATTGTTTGATAAAATGCCTAACAGAAAGTCCCATTTGAAAATGATCTTGCCTGTGTTGTGCGTCTAAGGAAAGTGAAATTCCAGCAAGTACAATGCTTGTCGGAAGATGTCTGTTAATTTTCCGGGATGAAGTGAGATTTTTTTTAGATTTTGATGCGCGGGTTTTCTCTTTTCTTACTTTTCCTGTTGGCATGAATTCGAGCTTCAATATGTGAAAGAAGCAGTCGTCTGGAGCTTCCATCAGTTGGAGAAGATGACCCAATTTCATGATTTGAGTCTTTCAAATTTTCCTTTACTTTTTTAATTTAGCCTCAGAGTTATGAGCTTCATAATTTGCCTCCAACACCTTCACAAGTCCTTCAATTAGATCCCTGCTTTGTTGCATTTTAATCCCTCAAGTTCCCCTCGTTCACCGTGGCCTCAAAATTTGGAAAAATCAAATCCATTTTGCCTTTCTTGAGCTTAATCTTATGTTTGCCTATTTTATGTGATTTTTTTGGGATAAATTAATTCTGGGTTTTAGATCATAATTGTGGCTTAATAATTTTAGTTGATTTGCTAATCTTGTTGGGTTTAGTTTTATGGTTTGGGTTTTTGGGGTAATAATACTTGGTTGGGTTTGAAAAGGAGGCTTAATAATATCTATTTGGGTTTCTTGTTGGGCTTAGGAAGGTTAAATTCCAATACTTTTGGTTGGGTTTGTGATTAATTTGAGTTGGGTTTATTTGGTAAAAAATGGGCTGACCTATGTCATTCCTTGGACTTCTAATCGGGCCAAGTGGTCTTGGCCCAAGAAGAAGTTAGAAAATGGCCCAGTGGCCTGCTCCATTAGGAAACCAGAGGACGAATTTGCAGATCAGTCCCTGTACTTTTCTTTAATTTTGCTGTGGCCCTAGACATTTTCAACTTCTTTCAATTGGGTCTTAACTTAATTGCAAATAGGCCCCTAAACTTTATTTTTTTTAATTTTGACCTCAAGACTTTATTAATTTTTGCAATCAAGTCCTTTTTCTTTTGACTTCTTAAATATAGGTTGTCTACATGATTTAATTGATTCAATTTCATGTTTATCTTTTGTGATTATTTCTTGATTAAAGTGATGCCCTGACTCTTTTATTATTTTGGAGGGTAAATAAGTGGTTTCACTCCATTGGGACCACAATTGAAGGGAGGTACACCTTAATCCCTTATTCTCTTGCTTTATTTGACTATACGTGCCCTATGTGACTCTACATGTTGATTGTATGCCTTTTGGATGCCTTTTATTCATTTCATTTATTTATTTATTTGCTTTATTGGCTTTGAACATTTATTTTATTTCAATTTCATCATTTGGGAGGCACTCGAATGCCAAATTTGTAATAGTTAGGTATTTATTTTAATTATTTATTCTTTTCCCCTTAGATTGTAGTAGGGCATTCCCTTTTGTAATAGATAGGGCTTGGAGCATTTCATGAAGACCTACTGAAGACGTGTGCCTAGCTAGCAAATGTAATAGGTTCATTAGTTTGGTTGCATGCCTATATGTTATGTGTTACTTGCTTATTAGGTTCTTGCATCTAGTCGAGCATGTTAATTGTTATGTGCTATGTGTTTATAGGTGATTGACATGTCTACTCGCTTTCCAGAAAATGAATGAATGTGATGGATGAATGGACGTTTCCACTAGTCCAACGCTAGTAGGAATTCATAGAATGGGCTAGTCCAACGCTAGACCCAATAGGCCGTCCCCCTTTTGTTAGTGCATATTTGCATGTTCACTACATTTCATGCATTTTTCTTAGTTTTTATCATTTGGCATGCTCCTCCAATCCTTTTTCCCTCATTTTAGGCTTTTTTGCATCCTCATACTAGTTATAGGGTACATTTGCTTGAGAGTCCCTTTCGATAAGGGAAACGAGCGAGTTTGGCTACAAAATAGCCATAGCCTTAGCACGCTAGTTCTTCCTTCTAATCCAAGGGAAAATCAAAGTCGTAAAGTTAGGAGTCCTTCCCGTGCCCGACCTGATGCATTCCCTTAGGGTCATACACTTGCATTCTTTTTATATCACCCCTCACTCTTTTAGCCACATTTTCTCACTATTTAGATTTTTCTCAATCCATTTTCTCACCACCTTTTTCCTATCCCTCATTTATTTTCTACCTCACAAATGTCACTCAAATTGCACTTATACGTATCTAATATCCTATTTTCATTCATTTGCACACACAAACACCTTTATTTTCTCACACTTGCACACTTACACTTGAGTCCTCACTTGCATTAATCACGACTTCCATGAGAGCTTTCCTTATTGGCCACCACAATTCATGTGGTTGGGACTAAAAGCCTCATGAGAAACATTTTAGGTTTAGGATTGCATTTTTCTTTCCTTTTCGCATCCATTAGTCATATCCAACATGCGATACATACCTTGGGTAGAAAATTAGGAAAAGTGGGGCTAAGTCACGCAACTAGCTTTGGTTAGGGTAAGGGAGTGTCTTAGGTTTTGCCTTTGCCTTCTCCCTTATCAAATGTGACCCCCGATCCCTTTCTTTGGTTACGTAGACCTAAAAGTTCTTCAAAAGGATTTGTTTACTTTTTCTTTCAAAAACAAAACAAAAATCATTTTTTGGGTGACTTGGTACACCCTAACTCCGTACCAAGTGGCGACTCCATTTTTCATCCAAAAACCCTTTTTGAACTTTATTTGGCCAAACTGTCGCATTTTCAAGTCCCACGGTCTCTTATTTTCATTTTTTCACACACGTTCACATACACACTACTTTCACACACCACACATTATCAAAAAGTGGGGCGCGACACTCGGCCATTTCTTCAATCAACTCTCATGCTTCTCGAGGATTTTTGTTCACCAGTGCCCCTCTACTTGCAGCATCAATAATACTCCTGTCTCTGAAAAGTAGTTACTCATAAAAATACTGGATGTGCAATTGCTCGCTTATTTGGTGTTGAGGGCACTTGATGCATAACTTCTTGAATCTCTCCCAATAATCATAGAGCGATTCTCCTAGATGTTGCTTGATACTGCATATCTCCTTCCTCAGACTTGCAGGTCGAGATGTAGGAAAGTATTTTTCCAAAAACTTTTTCTTCAATTGCTCCCAAGTGGTGATACTACCTAGAAATAGGTAGTACAACCAGTCTTTTGCTGAGTCCTTGAGAGAGAAGGGGAATGCCCTCATTTTTATCTGTTTTTTCATAATTTTCGGGGGTTTCATACTATTACAAACAACATCGAACTCTTGCAAGTGCTTATGAGACTCCTTACCTGGTAAACCATGAAAAGATGGTAAAAGATAGATTAGGCCAGATTTTAACTCAAACGGGGTGTTATTATTTAAATTCGAAAAAGTGATACATAAGGGCTGCTGATTTAAATTAGGAACAGCCAACTCCCTTAGTATTTGTGCATTAGCCATAATGACTTCTTCTCGATCCAAGTTACTCTAAGTATCACCAAGCAAACTTGTTGACTCGACTTCAGGATCAAGTCGCTGAGATGCAGCACTAGATTGCTCTTCCCTGAGCTGTCTGGTCTCTTTTCGTGTCCGGCGCGCGGTCTTCTCTGTTTCAGGGTCGAAAATTAATTTACCTGTACGAAAAGAATGAGGCATAAACCAGAAAAATATCAAAAAATTAAAAAAATGAACTTAAAATGAAACAAATTAACTAACGCCAGTCCTTGGCAACGGCGCCAAAAATTAACAGGTTGTCGAACTTGTGGAATAATAAATACCTGTTCAAACAAAATATAATTTCTGTAGATAGTGATAAGCATGGTCAAATCCACAGGGATAAAGGATATTTGTCTGTTTTGAAGTTCAAATTGACAATACGGGATTTTTTTGTAGCAACGGCAATAATTAAATGTTCGGATAAAAATAAATAGCCGACTAAAGATTAAATGACAAATTATTAAAAACAAAGTAATAATAACTAAGCTCTAGTCAAGAAATAAATTCGGCAATGGTTCACCTAATTGATCCTCAATGCAAAGATAATTTCAATTATTAACTAATAAATAGGTTATAACTGTCAAACAAGCGATGACAGTCAACTTCTCGTTACTGTGTCAATAACTAAAGTACGCCCGTTAATCACTACCCTAATCGGAAAAAAATCCTAGGTACGCCCGTAAGATTTAATTCCCCAATTTGCCTTATATATTAGAGAAGCCCTATCTAACCAAACAACACATTACCAGGGTTATTTTAGATTAGCCTGCGTATTTTCCTGACACAAATTCAATCATGCGAGTTGTCACTATTTTAGAGCAATTAAATAATTACGGATTTAACGCTCCAATTGAAATTAAGTTGCTAAATTAATTCAACATCCGGACCCAAGACATTTAATTAACGAAACAACCATAAACACTACCAACAGAGAGGATGCGAATACCAGTAAATAAGAGAAATAAATAAAATTAATTCGATCTCACAATTTTTAGATGAACCAGAGCTTCCGTTGCTCCTTAACTAGAAAAAGAAATTTAGTTCATCTTCGTTGAGGAAAACCCACACACAATTGCATAATTAATTGTTGCATACATTGTCTCACAATTGAGATGATCAATCCGATGGAACAATTGAAAGAACAACCAAATAAGACAAAAAAGTCAAAAGCTAAAAAGTCATAAAAAGTGGTATACTATTCTCCTATCTAATTCCTCTCTATCCTTTTTGTCTACCCCTATACGGCTATCAAGAAAGCACAGGAAAAAAGTCCTAGTCCTTGTTGATTTCCTTTTCCTTTAGAAACTACCAAAAATAAAGAAAAAGGAAGTGTCCGAAATTTTCCCCCAATCTGCTGCATATTTTCCACTAGATAAGGAAACAGAACCGAATTAGTCTCTATCTTGTTGACTACTACTCAAACTCTTCTGCTGACTACCGTCAAATTAGCACTTTTTTACGATATTTTGTTCGCTCCCTGTAATAAATATAAATTTTCAAAAGTGAATAGAATCCACCAATTAATGCATATTTGATAGAATAATATGAGCGAATTAATTACAAAATATATAACAAAAATGTGTCATGTCAAATTTATTCATCATCTGATTTGACTATAAAAAACGTTGATACTTGAGACTTATTTATAGCCTTTTACAAGACTCAAAGACCTAAACCAATTTAGAAATGATTAACTACTTTTCGAAAATTCTAACTCGATTAGAATAAGAAATTAACTAACTCAAATTGGCTTAATTATGGTCAACATGACCTTAGTCTTTATTGTATGAAACAAACGGCTCAACATTAACTAATTAACCACCTACTATTTACTAGAAATAGCGAAACACACATGGTTGAAATTTTCCAAGCAAATGACACACAATAGTTATAAGCTAAAATAATGATAAATTATGGAAAACTATTCCAAACCAAGGAATTCGGATTTGTTGAGTTTCAATGAATCGGCTGCTCTTTATCTTGAATCATCTTTCGAATTTGACGCCATTGATCACATGTTCGTATCATACCCCTCCTCTTGAAAGTGATTTGCGTTCAAATTGACAGATTGGAGAAAATGCAGCACTTCGGGCAACACCTTCATGTGAGCATACCACATTGCATGGCGCTTATGTAAGTGTAAGGAACTCATGAGCAAAGTCTTCAATTAAGAGATGTACCAATGTATCCAAAGCTAATTGTAGTGCCACTTTACTCTAAGATGTTCACAAACAATCTCTATAACCACTCGCATGAACTCTTTGTCTCGGATTGTAAATTTGGCACCTACAAAAGAAATTAAATAGTAAGTATTTGTAGGTATGAAATCACTTAAAAATTTATCATTTGCATCTACTAGATAGGGATCTTTATAGGGATGCTTAAGTAGACTAGAAAAACTTCTAATCTGACACGTAAGTACTTGTAGGTATGAAATCACTTAAAAATTTATCATTTACATCTACTAGATAGGGATCTTCATAGCGATGCTTAAATAGACTAGAAAAACTTCTAATCTGGTTATGTAAGGTAGTACAATCCATCACTACTTGATGTTTATATGACACATCTTTACAACTTTGCATATCTTGCATGGATGAAACTAAATAAAAATGGACAGCTTTGGATCTACAAATGAAACAATGAAGTTAGTGTCGAATGAACTAAAAAATGGACAAAGAAAGATTGGAACAGCATTATCGAAATTATAAGAAAACATGGAACAAAGTTCAAGTATAGCCACTCCCTTTGACATGGCAATTGGCTGATCAACAAATAAAATATCCCTAACTTGAAGTTTGGACATATGTTGATAACAAATCGAAACAACACTCAAGACTCCAATTCCGTGAAAGCTCTCTAACTCTCCAATAGATGTAGGAATTGAACAACTTAAGACCAAGGCGATTGCACTTTGCTTAACCTGCACAAAATAATAAACACAAAATAAAGCAAAGTTAGGATTGCTAGTAGATAAATAAGTACTCTTATTAATTCTCTCAGTTTTTACAATCATACTCTCGATCTCAAGAGAACTCTCACTCATGTTCTCACTCAAGCACAATGCACTTTCTTTTTCATTATCACTTCCTTCGACTTTTATTTCATGTATATTCACACTTTGTACATTATTGAATTTGCTGTTAACTTCCTTCTCACATTCCATAGCTTCAATAATGATTTCTTCAAATTCAACTCCACTTAGGATGGATTTAGGTGGATTTTCATTGGCTACAGTGTCCACAAAGTCCATATTAGAAGATGCTTGAGTATTGCATTCTGGTTTCTGTGATGCCCCCACTTCTCCTTAGGGCGAACCCAAAGGTATCGACGAGATGCCTGCATAGCTCTCGCCAGGACTCACTACGAGACGAATTCAACTTATGGATACTCAATCAATACTAAAAGTTGAAGATATAAAGAAAGGGTCGCTTCCTTAATAAATATACAAATCTTACATTACAAGATACCAAAAGTACATCAACATTCCCCAAAATATACAATGTCCAAAAGTTGTCTAAACAATTACATTCAAAATCCTAATCAAAAGTCCATCAAGTTGGTTTCTCCATAATTCTTTCCATTCAACTCCTGTTAAGGAAAACAAAGCTAATGGGATGAGTTAATGCTCAGTGAGGCCAAGAAAAGTATGCAAACACATAGTTCAAGTAGCAATAGCACTTATGCGAGAAATAAAGCTATAACATTCAAGTAATTCACAATTTAAAATAAAACAGACTCAATAAGGATACAGGAGTTCTCAGGAACTAGATTCCACTTGTTTTGTCGAATCTCGATCATATACCTTCGCGTGATGACACTCCGTTAACCGGGTAGGTATATTTAGTCCGTAGAATATCGTTTTACTTCACGAATCCCGTTCACCGTTACACCCCCTGTTCCGAGCCCGCTCATCATTTAGAAAGGCGATACTACTCGAGTATGCCAAGCGAGATCTCTCAAATAGATCGAGCTTTACGAATTTCTCATGGTTCACAAGCTTCTCGACCAAACCCATGCCGGTTCGAGTCACAAGATTAGCCTATAAGTTTGGGCATCCCCCAAATATACATATAAGTCGACGAGACAACGCTCCAATCGACGATCACAAATACGATTCACAACCACATCACTTCACACAAGTCGAATATCAATTCACATAGCGAAATTCGATCATAATTTCATTTAAAAGAGAACGAGTGCGATAAAATACACACTCGTCTCGGCAATTCTAATTCATATGATTAACAAGAAGCAATTCACATATTCCACAACAAATCATGCACTTGACACTCACCAAGTCAAAAAGTGAGTAAGTGAGCAAATAAGCTTTTAGGCGTCCACTCCGAAATTCTCTTGAAGATCCTCTTGAGCGCCTGAAGAAATAATAATTGGCTATCACTCACAAATGCGTACAAACCCCTTGCCAACAAGGAAGAATGTACACTTGTGCAATACTAAGACAATGTCATGAAAGAGAACTTTAAATCTCTCGAAAATCGAGGTTCAAAAGTGAGGATTTAAAGTCCCAAGAGAGACTTGCCTCTTCATGAAATCGAGTTTAAAATGGTCTATTGATATCGGGAGAGAGT